TAAGGTCAGGAGTTCGAGACCAGCCTGGCCAACATGGTGAAACCCCGTCTCTACTAAAAAAATACAAAAATTAGCTGGGCATGGTGGCACACTCCTGTAATTCCAACTACTTGGGAGGCTGAGGCATGAGAATTGCTTGAACCTGGGAGGCAGAGGTTGCAGTGAGCCAAGATCACGCCACTGCACTACAGCCTGGGCAATACAGCAAGACTCAGTCTTAAAAAACAAACAAAACAACAAGAAAATAATAATAAATTTTTTTAAATGTCCTGTCTATCCTTCATTGTATGGATGAACATACATTCCAATTTTCTGCTATTATAGGTTATCTACATTCTATTGCTAGATCTTTAAAGCAGTCTTCTAAATTTCTAAATTTCGGTCAAATTTATTACTTTTCAACTTAAGTCCAAATTCAGTTTCACCAAGATTTTCCCCTGACCCCTTCTCCGTTTTGGTTGCAGATGTGATGAATATGTCACCCAGTTGGATGAGATGCAGAGACAGTTAGCAGCCGCAGAGGATGAGAAGAAGACTCTAAACACTTTGTTACGAATGGCTATCCAGCAAAAACTCGCCCTGACCCAGAGGCTGGAGGACTTAGAGTTTGACCATGAGCAGTCCCGACGCAGCAAAGGCAAACTTGGAAAGAGCAAGATCGGCAGCCCTAAAGTAAGTGGGGAGGCATCAGTCACCGTGCCCACCATAGACACTTACCTCCTGCATAGTCAGGGCCCACAGACACCCAACATTCGGGTCAGCAGTGGCACTCAGAGGAAAAGGTATGCATGCAGCGATCTTCATAGTACGGTGCAGTGGCCAGATTTTAGTTAACTGCAAAAATGAATGTGCTCTTGCTGTGGAGGATGGAGGAGGGGAAGGAAAAGAAAAAATGGGAGCTGGCATATAAATGATCCTTGCTAATGTGGGTCTTTCCAGATCAAAACCTTTTTGATAATTGTGTTTATGTAGTCCTTTCTAACCCCCTGCCCAATCCCTCCTCTTGGTTAATCGTAATATAATTTTCAAGTGTCTGTTAATATTTTTGCTACTCTTTGTATGTGTAAATGTGCCTCTCCCTTCCCTCCAACCTAAGAATTAGTAGATAAAGGTGGATATTAAGAATGAAGCGTGTTCTACCTGGGTTATAATTTTAAAAGTCGTTGTACCTTTGGAAATGGTGCTGTTTATCAGCTTCTCTTTAACGGGACAAGGATATGAATATGTTCTCTTAGGGTAACTTTTGTCCATATGACCAAAATTGATGACGGACTGAAAGGGCATGTCTATATCTAGATAAAATGGGGTGGAATACGCACAGTCCTTTTCTTGAAAGCGGTTTTTGTGCTTTTTCATTTGGCATGGGAATATTGCCCAGAGAAACCACTTGTAAGAAGGTTTTTAGGGGCTTGATTGTGTGACCTTTTTCCAGAGTCCTGGCTGTTGAGTTACTTACCATGTATTTTCGGTTAATGGTAACATTTTTATTTTAGGAGCTTTCATTAAAGACTCAGATAATATATTTTCTATTTGTGGTTCAAGCTGACTAACTGTAATAAATCTCTTTTCCAGTATCCAGAACAGTTTCCAAATAGGGTTGTATCCTGATGTGGAAACTTAAAAAAAAAAAAAAAATAGCAAAAATATTGATTTACATATTTAAACAATGAAATGCCAATATAAATAATGTTGTCACTGGTGAGGCGTTGAAAGGTAATTAAAGTAAAACTTTTTTGTTTCCTATATGTATTTTTCTTGGATCTCCTGCAAGACAATTTTCAACTTCCCTTTGTGATCAGAGCCGTCCCAGGACTTCAGGGGCTTCCTACCTACAGAATTTATTAAGAGTTCCCCCTGATCCCACCTCCACAGAATCATTTCTTCTGAAGGGCCCCCCCTCCATGAGTGAATTCATCCAAGGGCACCGGCTCAGCAAGGAAAAAAGGTTAACCGTGGCTCCACCAGGTAAACATTTTTTCCTTGGGTGCATGTGATGCAAATGATTAGTTGAGTAGACTCTCCCCTTCCTTCCAGTCACTCAGGCCCACCCATCCGCAGAGTCTACCTTTGATGATGTGTAAATTCCTATAAGTCAAGTAAAAACTTCCTTACGCTTAGCTTCCCGTTTCCTCCTTTACTCATATTCCTTAGAATGACAGACTTCCATTTAACAGCCAAAGATGGCAAATGAGAGTTGGAAGGACTGGGATAGGAAAAGGGAAATTAGCAACAAGCACAATACATACACACTTGGATCCTATTTGCAGTTTGGTAGCTCATGGCGATTCCATCTTGGTCAGATTTGGCCAGTTCTCTCTTATCATTTTTAATGTAATTTCCGTAAAGGGAGCCATATGTATAACAAGGCTTTTGGGCTGATTTCCTTTTGTAGTGACTCAGAATGTCTCCTCAATCATTATATTGAGAATAAAAGTAAAACCCTCTAAGATTTTGCTCCTCAAGAACATTTAGGTCTTAGTATAATGTTCTTGTAGATTGCAAGCCCCCGTTGGTTAATGCTTACCAACATGCTCACACTTAGCTTCACTATTTTGCGTTTTTCTTCCTTCCTTCCTTCCTTTCATTCTTTTTACTTGTTCTATGAAGAGGCCTAAATTGAAAATGTGACATATGGCAAATAGAGAAAATGTGACTTCTTGCAAATAAAAATCATCCTTTTGAGGAATCCCTGCATGTGAGTATAGGGCAGAAGTGGCAAACAAGGAGCCCATAAACCAAAGTAAGCTTAAGGGCAGCTGTTATTTGACTATTGCCAGAAAATAAAAAATAAAACTAATTCAAGTTAGTTATCGACAGTTAAAAATCCAAGAGATTTTGTATAAGCATCAGTATTTCTGGCCTCTTTTGGAAGATTCTGAATATCTGGCAGCCCTAGGTCTGCATTCACGCATGTCAACACCTGTTCGAGCTCTGTAGTGGCTGTTGCTGTTAGGGCAAGCTCTGCACTTTGCCACAGTCCCCACTCCTTATTACTTATACCCAGCCTGCTATCCTCATTTCTATTCTCTCCTGGCCCCTCCTGTAGTGTTTGAGTCTGCCACCGCTGAAATAGAATTTATTTTTTCATTTTACCTTAATTCCTTTTTGCAAACCTCAGCCTTTGAATCTCTAATACTTTCCTTATCTGATTCATGGAATCAGCCTACTGATTGGGATTAAAAGATGTGGTGTAGAAACTGATAGTGCATTTCATGTTCTAAAGGTGTTTGAGGAAATTGGTAGTGATAATGCGTTGGAATGGTGTAATAGCCAAAATATACACCTAAGAAGAAAAAAAGTAAAAACTGCTTGGTGTTTTTAATTTCATAACTGATTTCCTATTGTTTTAGACCTCCTTGGAAGGTACCTTGACGTATTCTGTGAATCACCAGAGTGGTAATGATTTATCAGGATACCTAACTCGGATAAAACCCACAAAAGTCTTCTTTTTAGTGTTCCAAATGGATTTAGTAGAACTATCTACTGGAACTTAGAAAAGAAATTGGTATGATTAATAAATAACTCCTATTGTTGTTTAATTAAAAAGATAACATCTCAGTAAGGTTAAAAATAATCAATGTTAACAATAACTGTTTTCATTTTTGTATGACTGGTTTTTGTTTACATGGATATATATTTTATATTGTTATCATTACATTGTTTAAGCCATGAACATTATATCACAAGCTTTTCCATGTTGCTATCTAGTCTTTTATTTGTTAAAGTCATTGTATCATAGATTTTGTTTCAGATGCTGTTACCACATTAATCACTACTTCCCCTCGTCCACTGAGGTCGTTTTTCATTGTTTGTTATATTATAGAGTACTGCCAGGAATACCCTCATGCATTCAGCTTCTCATCTATTAAATGTTTCTCAGGAGTGAGATCACTCAGTTAAAAGTTGAACATCTTTATGTTTTTGGCTCCATTCTGATGTTGCTGTCAAGAAGGGTATATCAACGTACTAAGAGCCCATAAAACACTTTCCCGTTTTCCCAGATTGGGAATCTTTCTGCCACTTTATACACACTGTATGCATCTTACAACTCTAAAGTCAGTTAGCATACACAAATAAGAGTACCAGTATATTGTCTTAAACTCTTTAGTTTTGAATAACCAGAAAATACCTTAGAAATTGACCTTAGAAATGATTACTATTTATGAGATTCGAGGCTGAGTGCGGTGGTTCACACCTGTAATCCCAGCACTTTGGGAGGCCGAGGCAGGTGAATCACTTGGGCTCAGGAGTTTTAGACTAGCCTAGGCAACATGGTGAAACGGCATCTCTACAAAAAATACAAAAATTAGCCAGGTGTGGTAGTGGGCGCCTGTAGTCCCAGATACTCAGGAGGCTAAGGTAGGATCCCTTGAGCCAGGGAGGCGAAAGTTTCAGTGAGCTGAGATGGCACCACTACACTCCAGCCTGGGTGACAGAGTGAGACACCGTCTCAAAAAAAAAAAAAAGATTAGAGATATAAGGAACGTGGAATTCAGAATCATCACCAGACCGGAAGATCACGCTGACAGCTTAACATATTGATAACCTTTATAATTCTCACCATTTATGTAAAGTTAAAATAATAAAAAAGGAAAGGAAGTAAAGCTGTTATAGCCTTAGGAATTTTTAATTATGTATCATGGAATCAACCAGATTAACGCTTAATAAATTCTTATCAGTCTTGGCAACATTTTCTAAAAGGTCCTAGTTCAATGAATTACTATAGAAAGTGACTGACCATCCACACCAAATAAATTGTAGCTTCTATAAATATCTGCATTATTACCAATATATGTTATTTTCCCTCAACTGAACTATACAGGGTAAAACATATCAAACATTCATTATGATGCTTTTACTATATAAAATCTTTTCATTAAGCCAAGAAAGATAAAATATGCCATATATGACCAGTCTCATGTTCTTTATAAGAAATATCATAAGCCTATGGGAAATAATAGATTTTATGAGTATTTTTAAATTCATGAGTTTAACCATTATAAAATTTGCTAGCTAGTAACAGTATCTATTAGTCATTTTAAACAGAAAGTTCTCTATTAATTTGTCAGAATGTTTTTGATAAGCTAAAAACTAAAATATATTTCTAAAATATATTTTTAATACATGTTTTTAGGTGATTTTTAAATCACCTAAAAATATTTTTTTAATATATTTTTAATACATGTTTTTAGGTGATTTTTAATTATTCTAATAAGCAAATATGGGCTTTATTTTTATATTGAGGACTGTTGAAGCAATTATCTCAACTAAAAATGAAATTAATTTGTTCTTAATCCTTCACTTGAGGAATTGAGAGAGGTATGTCTCATTTAAAAATTTAAGACACAGAACATAAAATGTTATTTATTCTATATAAGAGATACTTTCAAATAGATTTTATTTCTATGAGATGGTAAACGGAAAACCTCATCTCCTCAAGTACACAATTTCTCAATTCTAGAGAATCAACTATAGGGTAGGCCATTGATTTTCAACATTAGTAGAATGTTTTATACTAATTAATGCATTACCTGATTGATTTGCTGCATTAGTACAACCTTTTAAGGGAAAATTCTGGCGTTTCCCTCTGACTGGCTCAGCTTCTGCAACCTCAGCCCTTGCAATTCCAGTGCTTCTGGTCATGGCTTGCTTGTTGATTTTCTTGCTCTTGACGTTATCCTTATCCTGGCACACAAATTCCAGTGTCCTTCCACATGCTCATCTTAGTTTTCACAGTTTCATTTACCAGCTGATCTGAGAAGTGCCTATCAGCCTTGATGACTTTGACTCAAAAGGGACCCTGTTGTCATCAAGGAGTTTGTAATTAGGCAGCAGATTGTATGTCTTCACAAAATTGTTGCGTATTTTTTAGTCAGCATTTTATCTTGATTCCTTAACTGCCTAGGCCTATATCCTTCTCTTCCTCCTTCTTCTCTTCCTCCTCCTCCTCATTTTCTTCATCATGATCTTACCATTTAATCAATAATTACAATCAGCCTGTCAGAATATGTAAAAGGAATCCGTGTAATTCACAGGCAGGAGTTGTTATTTCTGTAGTAAAGACCTGACTGCAGCATTTACACAAGATAAGTAGGAAATGGCAAACCTGGAGAAGCAAGTTTGAACTCAGTCTGGAAGTAATAGCCTAAGCAGCTTGCTCTTCACACTGTGTTTCCCATGTCACGCTTTTCCTCTTAGATATCTTGCTTCTCCCTATCATTTCAATCTCCTCCCTTCCTCTGTTCCTCCCTCCTTCATCCCTCCCTCCCTCTCTTTCTCTGACACAGTGACTCAGCTAGTTTAAGAGAATGGTATTTTTTTGAAGTCTGAAAATGTTTCTGTGACATTTTACACTTTACTGTTTTTTAAAGCAACTCACAGAAGTGTATTAGCCTTAGATAATCGCCCCTTGAGATACACAGTCAACCATACACACCGACATGTTCGTAGTAAAAACTGCCTTTATGTTTCACTGCATTCAAACAAGTAGATATTTGTTTGTTTCATGTATTGCAAAGCCTGTGTTCTTAAGCATGTACCAAAATCACATTTATTTCATTAATCCATTTACTCATTCACCAGAATTTAACAAAATTTAGTGAATATCTACTATGTGTCAGGCACTTTTCTTGGCTCTTGATATACAATGATATTCAAATAAAACTCATAGTCTGGTAGGGGAGGTAGGAGACAAAGATGTACTGATGTTAATAGATATTCCTGGAATAAATAAAGGAATTAGGG